GAGTGGAAATAGGAATCCCAGTTAGAAAGATAAATCATAGTTGAACATATCTCCTTACTTGTAAGTAGAGGTTTTATTTACAATTATAGTTTCATATCTTGCTTAACCTTGCATTTACTTAATAAAACCCTGTATGAACATAAGTAACACACACAAATTGATTACCTGCTCTCATGGCATGTACAGTCTAGTGAGGGAACATATAAAGAAAATTCCAATTCAATAAGCTAGTTGTTAAGATAAAGACACTCACATTTTGCCTGTGTGCCTGGGTGGTGCTTCTGAAGGCCTGTGGAGTTGGGAAAAGCTGAAGGGTAGCATTATTTTGTGTTTACCAGTGATCTTACCAATCTCCTGTGAATAATCTGCCTCTTGTTCACTTATTCCATAAACATTTACAAAAAATTTATGGAGGAAACACACACTTACACACAGTTGATCATTACAACAATGCATTATGAGCTGTAATTGAGATTTCATTCCATTGAGCTCAGCTCTGCAAAAATAAAGCTTTGGAAGGCTCATGCCTTTACGTCAGGCACTGAGAATACAAACTGAAACAAGACTAGTATCACAGAGGCACAATCAGCAAGAAGAGAATGATAGTCTAAGGCTACTTATAAATCAGTAAGTAAAACAGTGTAGTATATATAGTAGTTAGAAGTATTTACATGGAATACAAATAGTACAAGGAAATAATTTGGTCTGGGGGTGAGAAGGAGAGGAAGGGTCATGGAACGGTTAGCAGGGGAGGTAATGCTTGAGCAGGATTTTCAAGGATAAAAAGGAGTTTACCAACTTAGGGATGTTCCTCGCAGGTGGGAGGACATGTCCAAAGATATGACAGGTAATCCATGTTAAGGAGTTGAAGATGAAGATAAAAATTTTAGTGGCATTAATCCATGTGGTTGTGGGATTCACTGGTAAATATAGAATGAAATGATAGATTGGAGGAGTAATCAAGAAACTAGAAGTGTTGAAGGTGATACTCAGGAATAATGGTGCAAAGGAAGTGAGAATTCTGTAAGGAGAGTAGAGGTATACATTCAGAAAGTGGGTATCTAAGTGTAAGAGTTCAGAGATGGATGATGGTTCTAAGCATGAGCACCTGGAATGTAGCTACAGAGGTGAACAGCAGAAGTGGAATCGAGATACAGGTCACTGGATGTGAGGGACTCAGAGAACTGAGTTGAGACCAGAGACAGGTCACTCACATTAACATTTAAATCAATGGCATATGACAAAAATGAAAACCAGGTAATGAAGTTTGCACTGATTATGGGGTAGTAAAAGGAGACCTGTGGATATGGCAGCTAGAGAGGAAATTTTAGAGGAAAAAGTAGAGAAGGTGTGTAGGAAGCGGCCAGGAATGAACAAAGCATTATGTAAGCTAAGGAATTCTCTACGAATCTCCGAAGCTTACTCTTTCTAAAGGCTTAATAACTAATAAAACTTTAATGCATTTTCTCCAAAATTATTTAAATGCCCAGTATCTGAAGTCCAAGGTATATTTGATAAAGAAATATCAGACACTGTGACAAAGTTTTTCAAAATATTTATTTCAACAGTGGGGACTTTCAGTAACTCTATATTCCAACCATTAGTACCTACACATATGCATAAGCCACTTGGGGTATTTAAAGAAATTCGGTGAGAGCAATGTGTGTGATTACTTCTATTTAGCAAGTTACCTTAAATGAGTTTAGTTATACTGACAAAACTAGAAAGACTACCTCTGTGGTAGATCAGACTGCGGCTCCAGGAGGAAGGGGGTTCCCTGCCTGAAGCAAGATCCCTATTCATCTGGTGAGATCTAAGGAAGACACGGGCGAGAAATTGGGAAGGAAAGGGTTTATTCTCACAGCTCAGTCTCTGCTTGCACACTGGTTATTCTCTCCAGCACTTCTTGGGACCCCCTGGCACATAGCTCCCTAGCTCCCAAGCTCCCGATTCCCTCTGGCTGCACTCCCTGCTCAGAACGTGGATGCTTGGCCTCTCTCCCCACCCACTCCCAAGTCCCCCCTCTCTGGCTGCCTCATGTTCTCCTTTCCTGTGACGCCTTCTGGGAGGATCTCCCTGGGCAGGTCTCTGGTGACTGGCAGGTGCCTGACCAATTACATACCAGGAACAGAGGTGATGAGAGAATGGCTTCTACTCTCCACCCCTTACCCTGGAGTGGCAATCAGTGAGGGACTGGTGGCTCTGCGGTGGTAAACATCACATTGACGTGAAAATAGGCCCTTATAAGCATCTCACTATCTAGGCCAGGAGCGGATTCTGGTTGAACACTTCCTTTTACCCAACAAATCTCACCTGTTAAAGTGCAAACTATACTCCCTTCTTAGATTTTTAGCCTTATCTGACACCTTCATGGGAAGTTCAAAAAGAAAACAGACAATTTTTCTGCTTTTCACATAGCATTCCACCTCAAGTCAGACACATGTACACTTATCAAAACAAAGAATATTAATATTTATTTAAATTTGTAACTGTGTAAAATGGATTAAAAATATCAAAAGCCTTTACAAATCCTTTTTAGCATTTTGTGCTATTTAACAATCATTTTAATATTGCTATTACAAGAAAAATTAATTAAAATTCATTTTATGTCAATTTCCTCATATTTAACATGTAATATTTCTATTCAGACATTATTTTATGTTAATTATAAAGTAGAAAATAGATGTAATAATATTTTGTTAAGATGTGCTCTAAAATAAAGTAGGATATGACATCAAATTCATAAAAATATTTTTAAAACTAGAGTACTCTTTGTGAGATCAATACTTAGGGTATTTTCCAATTTTTTTCCCACAGATAATTACAGACAATGAACAGCAGGGGGCACAAAAAACAAAAGTTATTCTCCACAAAGCAAAGCACATACTGTGGAGGAAAGCAGGTAACTTTTGGAGACAGATTCCAACTGGCTCCATCAAATATAAGCTAAGTTACCTTTAATTATTTAACCTCTCTGAACTTCTTCAATGAGAGAATCATGATAACATGACACAGAGATTAAATATTAATATATATAAGGCAGCTCAATAAACACTAGGAATTTTTCTCCAGTGCTTATTACATATATATGTCAGTGGGTACCAAAACACACAAGTAAATGCAAATTTAGATTGTATAGCAATTTGTGCAGACGCTGTACATGGAAATGGCTCTACAGTTTCAGGACAGCATATAGACACTAGTATCACTAGATCACAAAACTAAAGCTAAACAAAAGAAATGGCAATATTTACTCAAATACGATCGAAGTTTTTTTCTCTATGAGGGAATATGAATGCCAGAGAAAGTGTATGTGAACACGTGTGCATATTTTTCAGCCTGATACCATGCAGTGTTTCCGAGTATGACCAAGGAAAAACCCACAATAAAAATCACCTGGGGGGTGGGGGAAGGGGACTTTTGAACGCAGGTGCCTGTCCTACTCAAAATCTACGTTTTCATACCTATGAGTAACACCTTGCTTCCTAGGGTTCCTATGAATATTAAACAGCATGTTATATATAAGCACTCTACATAACACATGTTATTTTTAGGATCTTTTCTTTTAAAAGAAAATATGTATACTCGCAAATGACTTGCTCAAGAATACCTTTTCATAGTTTGTTTTCCCCCCTTTTTCTAAGAACTAACCCATTTTTTACTATTTTGGACAGCAGGTGACAAACAAATCCTTCCTTTTCTGATTAGCAGTTATGGGGTATTCTTCAAATAACATTTTTCCAGCACTTTCTGTGTTCCAAATGTCTACTAGGCTCTGAAAAGCATGCTCTACTTAAATAAAACTGAGTATAGAGTTTTAATATAACTTATAAATCATAAATTTGGATTTAATTAATTAAAAATATATACTTGATATATAGGACTAAGTTTAAATATGTAGTTTAACTTTAAAACTTAAGGTTTTATCAACTATATCAATTGGTTTTGATTTTAATAAATACATTTAAAAACTTTAAGAATTTACATGAAGATGTAATGAATATTGATGTTACCACATGGCATTCTTATTTATCAAGAGCAAAACTTAAACTTTTCAACTGTTAATCTGGTACAGAAATCTTAAAAAGTCATTTATCTTCCATCACCCAGAATAACCACTTGTAACATCATAGTGTTTAATTTTCCTTTTTTCTTAAGACATACACATAAAATTTTTAAGTGGGGAGTGAATCATATGCTATTGATTTGTAATCTGATTTTGCCACAATATTTTGTAATTCAACAGATGAGCAATTTCATTATATCTTTAATGATTGCCTATTATTTCAAAATAAGAGTATACTACAACTTATTACCCCTATCCCACATCATTGAATTTTTGGACTTTTTCCTTTTTTTAATTGCTGTTACAAACAAAACGTGATACATATCATTGTATATACATATTTGTTTTTTTATCCATAACACCTTTAGGATAAATTCCTAAAGAATTTTTTGGTCAAAAAAATATATCTGTGTGTATGTTTTCTCATATCCTCAACATTATAGGGATATAATCATTCTTTCATTCAATACTATAACAAAATATGAAGTCCAGACCCAAGGGCATATAGGAATTTAATATAACAATTCATTCAATCATTTATTCATTCATGCAACAAATACCTATTGAACACATATATACTAGGCACTGTTCTAAATGCTGGAGTTAAAGTGCTGAGCAAGACCACTAAGGTTCCTGTTCTCATGAAGTTATATTCCAAAAGGAACATGATCATATAATTTAATGTGCAATATCAAATTAATGGGGAAAGAATAGATTATTCAATACACAATGGTGTTACAACCATTAAGAAGTAAATTAGATTTATATTTTCATATATGTCTCATCAAGTGCATTATAAATGGATTTAAAGTCTATATTTTAAAAATGAAACCATGGAAATATTTGGAAAAAACATATGAATTTAATAAAAAGTAACATCACATACATTCTTAAAAACATGGAAACTTCTTTAGTGTAATATCAATGCAGTTTTAGAAATGACATCTTATTTTTAAATAACAGAACAGAAGAAGGAAATTTTTGAACAATAATCTTTATTAGTATATTTTCAAAGGTACATATGATCCTGAGCTACTTCATGTAGACATTTATCATTTACTCTTTGAAGTTTACATGTATTTTGTTACCAACTCTCTGGTGAGTACATTTTTATACTAATCAGGAACATAAAATAACTTAAAATATTGTTATCCCTGGAATAGCCACCTAATTTACTCAGATCATCTCACTACCTAATTCTACTACATTAAAGGCTATAGAACATTATTTCTCAATTAAGCAAATTCTTTTTCAAAACTGCAAAGATGGGCAGTGCAAGAGCTGATTCCTTAAACCCGAGTAAATTCTTAGAAAACTATGTTGCTTTTTGTTTTTGATCTGTTCCATTCAATGAACTGGATAATAATTAGACCACTGATATTTGAGAAGAATGGCAAAAGTAACTACCTCTAATCTCAACATTTTAGCTAGTGAAAAATGTTATAGGCTCCCTTCATATGTAAGTAGTCCATAATTATCCCAATAAGAACTGTTTACCGTGATCTAAATGAAAAGGGGGACAAACCAACGTAAATAGATCTATGTTTAAATGGTTGTGTTATAAAAACATGTTACGTGAAATGCCTCTCTAGGCTCTGTAAAGGAATACATACAGCTGATTCACATTAAATTTCATAAATCTAGACCAGGACTTTTATAATTGGCAAACAACAACAACAAAAAAAAAAAACAGACAAAAATGGAAGACAAAGTTCTGTGACCTTTAAGAAAAAACATTTATCCAACATTACCTCTGACTGTGGACAAATAAATATTTTCATTCTTGAATTTTAAATTACTACCAAAATATTGTATCTTCCTACAGACAACAAAAAAACAAGCAAACAGTATCTAGAAATGGTTGTTATCTGACAAGAATGTCAAGTCTTTGAAGGTACACCCCAATTTTTTTCCTGAATAAGGTCACTATGATCTTAGGTTAAAGTTGCAGTAAGCAGTTCACGCAAAATGCATATTGCTTAGATTTTAAAGCAAGCAATTTTGATACTTTTTAATTAAAATATAAGTATAAATGTGAAGCTATTGTAGAAACATTTTTAAACACTTCTTGAGAACACTCACAGATCAGCAAGTAATAGGATAACTAATTTAAAAATAATGAAAAGATGATGTTATGTGTAATGTTTGGTGACAAATCCAAAAACATCTTTACAAGATGTAATGGAACAGGAAGATACAGCTTCATTATTCAGAACGTGAAAACCAAACATCAATCAAAACACACTCTTTGCATATAATGTAGTGCAAGGAGCATTTGTTCATAAAAGACTCCCAAAGTCTTGAAACTTTATACATAAACAAGAGTGGAATCCATTAGGATAAATGATTTAAGGATGTCCAGAGTAGCTTATCAAGAACTGCTAGATACTATTACCTGCTCACTAAATCATAAGCAAGCTTATGCAAAACTGTGTTCTGGATAGCTCACTCTTATGGCTCCCCAATAACAAGCTCGGATAAGGCAGATCAAACCTAAGAGATAAGCAACTGCCCAAGAAACATAGGTTGCATGAAATCGCCTTGCAAAATCTTGGCTGCCAACCTAAAATAAAAAGCAGTACAAAAACAATAGGTTATAAACTTTAAGGAAATATCTATTTAGAGAATTGTGTTGGCTTATATGTGATTTTTATGAAATATATTCATGAGGCCACAAAATCCTTATAAAATATGAACTGGAATATTTGTTAATTATCACTGACAGAGTAAAATTTAATAAGAACAGTGCTAATTATGTTAACTATAAATTTTATGAAGTAAACAAAAAGCCCACTAAAATATGTTATCTCTGTAAGGAATTTAATCTATGTAACTGCTTAGCATTGTGTGACACAACAGGAATATTACTAATAATATGGGACCAGATAGACCAAAGATGCATGGAAAGCAAATAAATGACAGCAAAAGAGATCAGTCCCTTTCTCTTTTCTTGAGATAATCCCTAAGCCAATCACAGCTTCAATCTCCTCTAAAAATAAGCCATCCCCATGTTGGCAATAAATCTCTGCTTGACTTGAAAAAAGATAAGAATGTTTTCCAGACTTGGAAACTGACAATAACTGCTTCAGCTTTGGCCATGGCAAAATTGGTTCTGGCACTAAATAAAAACAAGTGGCTTTTGTTAAATGAATCGTAACATCCCCAGTGCCAAGGACCTCCTGGGGGGTCTCAAGACCCTTTTCATCTGATTGAGCAAGCTCCATTTACAGGTCCAGGGATTGGGCTTCAGATTACCCACAGTCCTTCACCAGCTTCTGGGCCTGGTATACCAGGGAGGCAGGCTCTTCAAGGATCACTGAAGGTTGTCTGAGGCCTCACCATTTACTAATGGTAAAGTTGAGAGAAAAGAATCCTACCAGTGAGTAGAGTAATACTCACAGTTAATCCAACTCCAATGAAAATACATATCATTCCAATGGTAATGTACGCACAGCAACGTCTTCGCGGAAGAGCACTACCCACCGAGGAACTGCAAATTCATGAGGACAAAGGAGAACATGAACAATTACATGAAGATTCTCTGCTTCATCTTCGTGAGTACTTATCTATGAGTTTAGTAACACATGTAAGTCCATTTTTTCAACGTGAGACAAGAACATGCATAAAAATTTCATTTTTAATAAGTGACTACAATCATGAATGATGACTTTGTCATATACTATTGTGGCTTTAAACAAAGTTCAAGCCTTGGAAATTAACAATATCCACAAAAATCCACTATTGTCAACAACAGTCTTCCAAGATAAAAATCCATTTCCAAAATGGAAAATCAGTGCTATCTTATAAATAGTATTTGATGTTTTCAACATTTAGTTATTTTTAGAGTAGTTAGTAGGTTTAGAGTAGAAAATTTGGAAAATAGAGTAAAGAATAAAAAGGAAAAGGAAAATTACCTATAATCCCACTACCATAATCACTCACCATTTGGCATATTTTTCTCCAGCCATTGTTTTGTAACTTACCAAAATAATGCAAGCATTTTCCTATGTCATTATGTATTTTCAAACTGGATTTCCAATGCATGAATATAATATAATTTAACCAATTCCTCACCACTGGACACTTTAATGTTTTCATTATATACTTTCAGAATTAGGATAACAAAGCTAAACTTTTTGAAATCTTTTAATGCATACTGCAAGAAGCCTATAGGAAATTCATAAAAGCATATACTATTATCACACTTCTCAACTGAAGTTCCAAATCCAGTAATTTTCACTTCTCTCCACTTTTAATTATTGTAATTTCAAAATGACAGAAGTATAGCAGAGATCACACAGCCAAATCAATGCTTTCTTCTCTTCCTAAATACACATATCATCTGTCAAGCACCATGTGAATGAATGATATAATGAAGTACTTGATTTGCCTTTGTATGGCCAGTGTCACTGTCATACCTAGCACATACTAATTGCTCAAGGAATGTCTGCTGAATAAATACAGACATGCATCACTTACTAGGCATATTTAGAAATGTGCTATTCCAAAGAAGTTAATTTGGCATAATAGAAAAATGGTTTCAAGTCACAAACGTTTTATAAAATTGATGAATATTGCTGCAAATATATATCATAAATATTTCTGAATACTTGAGCTAAAACATAAACATCTGGGTGTCTGGGGGAAGCAGGGGTCACCATTAATAGCTGTTGCATACCGCGTGCTATCTGGAGTTACTAGGGTATACAGAAGTCATTGCCATTATGATATATTTAACCTTAGACTAGTTTTGGTGTTAATTCCTATGTGTGCATTTGGTGATTTCTTCTGCCTTATACCTCACAGCTGGCCATCATTTCTCATTTACCTGTGTATTTCCTCCCGCAATCTAATCTACCAAGGATTAGAAGACAACTCAGTTTATTAGAATTATGCATTGAATAAGTCAAAAGGTTCTAAGTGAATATTAGAGCAGCTTTCCTGTGAGCCAAACAATACACTTTTTTCTTTTTGGTATCATTAATCTACTATTACATGAAGAACATGTTTACTAGACTCCCCCCTTCACCAAGTCCCTCCCACATACCCCATTATTCACTGTTCATCAGCGTAGTAAGATGCTGTAAAATCACTTGTCTTCTCTGTGTTGCACAGCCCTCCCTATACCCCCCCCACATTATACATGCTAATCGTAAGGCCCCCTTTCTTCTTCCCCCCCCTTCTCCCTCCCTTCCCACCCATCCTCCCCAGTCCCTTTCCCTTTGGTAACTGTTAATCCTTTCTTGGGTTCTGTGATTCTGCTGCTGTTTTGTTCCTTTAGTTTTTCCTTTGTTCTTATATTTCACATGAGTGAAATCATTTGGTACTTGTCTTTCTCAGCCTGGCTTATTTCACTGAGCATAATACCCTCTAGCTCCATCCATGTTGTTGCAAATGGTAGGATTCAAACAAAAGACTTTCATACATTAATTTCAGTGCAAGAATTCTGCTTAGAACACCCATGCTCATTCTTCATCAGTCAACTTGAATAGTCACTACCTCTGGGAAGTCTTCCCAGAAAAGAAAAAAATCTACTGTTACTCTACAGTCCCAGTGCCATCTCATCACAGGGATAAGCAATGACAACCGAGTGCCTAGTGCATAGGTAACGAAATCTCATACATTTGATACATTATGTGGTATCTCTTTGCAATATATATAGTATTCTTTTGCATGTGTTAAATTTGTATATGTGTATGTGTTAAACCGTATGCTTCTGTGACTTGCCTTTTTTTTTTGCATGTTTGCTCAATATTCTACATGAGAGTCTTCAATACTCATATATGGAGATCTGGTTTATTCATTTTCATGACTATCTTCCATTATATGAAAATACCACATTTTACTCATTCTCCCTGTGTTGACAGACAGTCAGGTTTTCTTTTTCTTAATCTTTTGGTTTCATAACAATGCTGCATTGAACACTTTTTGATATGCTTCTTTATGTACATATGCAGGAATTTCTCAAACATGTATCTAGGAACAGAACTATTGTGCTCTATCACAGACATATGGTCAACTACAATAAATGCTAAATTTATTCCCCCACTAACACTGTATGAGAGCTTCCATTGCTCCATCCACATCCTCATCACTTCAACACTTGGCATTGTTTTCATGTTTGACAATTTCATGAATGAGAATGGTATTTCATTGTGGTTTTAATCCCTATATCCTTGATTTCTATCAAAGTTGAACATCTTTTCAAATGCTAGTTGACTAGTGATTGTCTTTTTCTATTAACTGCTTGTTCATGTCTACTGTCCCTTTGCCTTGGGCTGTCTTTAGTTTACTGATTCACAGATGATATTTATATAATCTGCATCTTATTCCAGGCAGCTATACACATTGCATATATCTCTTACAGCCTGTGTTTTCCAAAATTCATTTTTAATAACAGCTTGTGATGATGAGTTTTTATTACTGAAAATATTAATGAAATCAATATAATGTAATTCTAATACTCTCAAAATTATCAGTATATTCCTTTAAGTTTTGTGCTTTTTTATCCTTCTCTAGGAAATTCTTTCCTATCTCTGTCATAAAACTATTTTTAAATCTTTTCTTGTAAAAGTATTAGAATTTTGCTTTTTATATTTCTCTTGACCTATAAGAGCATAACCTTTATAATTATCCATTTGCATTTTACATATTTTGAAGTCATTATTTGAGGCACACAAGTTCAGAATTTATGTTTCTGATGAAGTGACCTTTGGAATTCTTTTTATCCTAAAGTATAAGAGACAATTAAGGTACATGCTAAAATGCTGTAATAGAGACATCCAGAATACAGTAGCTTGAATAGTTTATTTCTCTTGCATATAGGAATTCAGAGGTAAATGTATAGTCTGGGTTGGTAAACAGCTCTGCTCCATGATTAACTGCCATTGCCAGACTCAACACAAGAAACGAGTCTCCTAATGCAGTTGCTTTTTCCAGCCAATTGGAAGAGAGAGAAAATCATTACCAGTATTTTTGTCTTTCAAGAGAGTATCAGGAAGCCATATTCATCGCTTTTACTCATACTTCATTGGCCTTAACTTAAACTCATGGCCATAACTTTCTGCATGAGACGCTAGAAAATGCAGTTAGCTGGGTGGCCAGTAAGACTCAGAGTTCTTCTACTAAAAGGAAGTAGAGAACAATCAATCTGCTCTTTTAACTAACATTAAAACTACTATTTTAATGTTGTTTAGCACCTGCCTAGTATGTCTTTCCTTCAGTTAGTGTTTCATGGTTTTATCTTTTTCTGTCCTTTTACTTTGATTCTTTCTCATATTTCATGGGTCTTTTCTTCAAAGTGTATGTCAACATCAATCTAATCTGATACACTGCTAGCAAGCTTTACCAACAAGTTTAGTCTAATTATGTATATTCTGACAACTGATACATGTGGATTATTTCTGCTACCTGATTTTGGCTTTCTATAGTTTTTGTATTTTCTATGCCTTTCCACTCTCTTTTCTAGACTTCTTTTGGTTTGATTGTGTTTTTCTTTATTAAGGTGTCATTAATATACAATGTTATAAAGGTCTCACATGAGCAACACTGTTTATTACATTCACCCATATTATCAAGTCGCCCCATACACACCCCATTGCAGTCACTGTCCATCAGCATAGGAAGATGCTATAGAGTCACTACTAGTCTTCTCTGTGTTATACTGCCTTCCCTGTGACACCCCTATATTACGTATGCTTATCATAATGCTCCTTAATGCCCTTCTCCCTCCCTCCCTACTCACCCTCCCTTATGCCTTCTCTTTGGTAACCACTAGTCCCTTCTTGGCCTCTGTGAGTCTGCTGCTGTTTTGTTCCTTCAGTTTTGCTTTGTTGTTATATTTCACAAATGAGGGAAATCATTTGGCACTTGTCTTTCTCTGCCTGGCTTATTTCACTGAGCATACTACCCTCTAGCTCCATCCATGTTCTTGCAAATGGCAAGGCTTCTTTCTTTTTTATGTCTGAATAGTATTCCATTGTGCATATGTACCACATCTTTATCCATTCATCTACTGATGGACACTTAGGTTGCTTCCATATCTTGACTATTGTAAATAGTGCTGCAATAAACATAGGGGTGCATATGTCTTTGAATCTGGGATCTTGCTTTCTTCAGGTAAATTCCTACGAGTGGAATTCCTGAGTCAATGGTATTTCAATTTTTAGTTTTTTGAGGAACCTCCATACTGCTTTCCACAATGGTTGAAGTAATTTACATTCCCACCAATGGTACAGGAGAGTTCACCTTTCTCCTCATCCTTGTCAGCATTTGTTGTTCCTTGTTGTTTGGATGTTGGCCATCCTAACTGGTGTGAGGTGATGTCCCATTGTGGTTTTAATTTGCATTTCCCTGTTAATTAGCAATGTGGAGCATCTTTTCATGTGCCTGTTGGCCATCTGAATTTCTTTTCTGGAGAAGTGTCAGTTCATATCCTCCACCCATTTTTTAATCGGGTTATTTGCTTTTTGGGTGTTCAGGCATGTGAGT